ACTACTTCACCAAACAATTTACTTTTAATATGCTGAAGACAACATTAAGCATACTCGGGAGTTCGTCTCAAGATGTTCTTCGGGTTCTGGCAATTGAAGAACCACGGCATATTATTTATTTCTTACTTTTTTCTGCTTTTGGGGTGTTAAAGTGGTAAAACAATGAAACTCCCTCTTCACCATTGACACAGGAATCTCTCAGCAAGGTGATCATTGTGAGTCAATGAGAACACATAAGATTCCCGCATTTCACACAATTCACAACGGGATATTTGAATTTAAACCTGATATTTGTGCTAGAATGAGAATAATTTGTAAACTTGTTGATTTCAAAATAGTGCTGTGGCAATAAATCTCCAACATCTTGTCTGAGCTTGGTTATTTGTGTAAAAAACAAACACTATTTCCCAGTGGAAATTTAATTAGTGTTTTTATTACCATCATCCACAGTATGCACAAAATTACCCATAGTGGCGGAGAGACGATTTCGAAATTGTGAGATGCTTTGTACCCCCTACAAACAAGCGTCTAACTAATTCACATGTACATTCATGTGCTCTATGCAGTTTAATGAAGTTTTTCGTGAAATACAATCCAGTGCAGTCCTAAATCTGTAAACTCCTGTCTCTCACAATGCCGAGGGAGTGAAGATTTTCCGCCAGAGTTTACGCTTCTTGAGTTGCGTGTGCACCTCTCAATAACACTGCCACGATGGCTTCATGTAAACCTGCCTCCACGCGAATGCAACAGACAAATCGCCTCAAATGCACCTCGGTTTTGTAGGTTTATTTTAGAAGAACGCAGTCTCAAGCATCTCAAGAGATTGACCATATGATAGCAGACAGAGGAATCCATAAACCACACATTTTATTCTGTTAACTTCTCTCTCAATGGTGTCAACTAATCAGCATCTTCACCGCTATGGTATTTTCACGACATGACCCACCACTAATTGTCACTTTAATTATGATCGTCATTGAGTTTGGTACAGCAGATCATCGTGGTCACACTGAAATGCACAATTTAGATGCACATTCACGATTTTGTGTGGGTTTTGAAAAATTTTATTGTGTAACGCCCCGAAAAAAGCAAGTCTGTAGGAGGAGAAATGTCTTAATAATGACGAGGTACGTCGAATAAAATATTTCTCTTCCTAACCCAAATTTTCTATCACTAGATCACCAGAATTTCATTTACATCTATCGTAGACAAAACAAGGGCAAAATAACAACCACAAAGTCTCTGATGAACAAACTTCGAAAATACATGAAAACTGACACTTTCAACCTCAGTAACATTTTAATTTAACTCAGAGACAATCGATGGTATTTATCGTTACAAGAGAAATACTTTTGAGACTTGTTTATGGTACACTTTAACTGAATCGATATGGAGAAGGCACAATTTCTCACGAGAATGTAAATCACCTGTTAGATAGCATGAAAGCATATTGGGGGACTTGGTGAAGCCCTCAAACTTGCCCACAGTGTCTTCTTCGTAGAAGGAGCCAAGCAAAGGGGGCAGGCGTGGAGAGAAAAATCAAAGGATTTCGATGAATGGAGCAGTCACACCTCTAATGAGCCGATAAACATTGTTTATTGTCGAAGTGGGTACAGCCAACATAAAAGGAAGCCGATTTTTAGCGGGAAAATGATAACATCGTCGGGGTGAATGTATTCCCATGACAGAATAATACCGAATGAAGAGAAGCTCTTCATTATTCAGAGGAGGAAACTGGGAATGTAACATGATCTTTTGGCAATCATCTCGATATTCGCTAACACAATTAACTAATTTAATTCATTCGTAAAGCAGAAAAACCACAAAGATACCGCAAAACTGCACACTAGACGATCCAAACACTTGCTTTCCGATATTTTCTAAAGAGCAACAAAACACTGCGACACCCATCTCTTTGATGGGTGCTGTCAGGTGCTCTATTTCGTGTTCTTTTCGGGGGAAACAAGACTGAGAGTTGGTGAGAAGAACGTGTAAGCTGTATATCAGATGCCTTGCAATAAACAAGTTGTAAGAAAGTATCTTGTAACATCTTGATTTTTAATAAATTTGACAAATTTTACTTCTTTAGTGTGCTCTTTAGTAACAAATCATTTAGGACAATTTATTTCGTCTTTCCTGTTTGTCTTGGGAATCTGCCTCAATTTTTGAAACACACTTCTAATTGCGTCTCAACAACACAGTTCGATTAGATTTAGATTTTTATTTGATTAATGCCTCTGCTTTACACAGAGAAAAACCAAGTTGAAGTTACATTCATCACTTCATATATTTTATTGGGCGAAAAGTGTTGACAGACTTTGACAATGAAAAAGAATGGAACGACGAAGATTTAATGATGAAGAAGAAGAAGGCTAAATTATTTCTCTATCAAAATTTAAACTCCATTGTCCAATATTTGGACAGATGAAGGCATCAGAAATTAAGTTATCTGTCCTGAAAATCTCCTCTAAAATAACGATAAACTATCTAGACAAGTCAATAAACAAGCCAATTTCAATTTAGTGCCCTATCTTAATTGGATCAAAACATTGCAAGTTCAAGTTGATATTTAATTATCAGCATAAGACCATCACAGGTTTGTATATTTTCAACCCTTCTTGGTTAAGATGTTTTTCTTTTCTTTCAAATTCATTTTCAAGTGATGTTTCTGTAACCCTAGCAGATAGACTTCTACACGAGAATTTATTGATTCTGTCATTTGGGATCTTATCTCATTCAATATCTACATCGTAAATTGCTGTTAAACACCAAACCTCTCGGGAATCTGATCTCACAGGATCCTGAATGACTTATCAATGTTATACAGACCAATTAAGCCTCAAGGAGCTAAAGTATTTCTCGATAGAAGAAAAAAATGCTGGCATTTTATATATTTTGGGACTTCTGTTTCCTATCTTGAGCATTAATCTCACAGTGTGTTTTTATCCTTCTCCCCCGCGATCACGATCATCCTCCAAAGTGCACATCTTCTGCAACATTTGATAGAGTTTCTCCTCCTTTCGTCGCTAAATTTAGCCATGGGTGGATCTCCATCCGCTGTTTATTCAGCAGTTCAAAATGCACCTTCAGCCCAGATGCTGTTTGGAGAGTGGGAAGCATCTTCTGATGGTTCACATAAGTCACCGGAACGAAGAGGAAAAACTGCGCTCTCAATGTTCATAAATAATATGAAATATTACACCACATTTTCGTGCGAGAGATTCCTCGCGACAGACGGAAGTTGTAGGTGGGTGAAAGACTGAGTCTTGTGCCCACAATCACCGATGATCGTGTCTTTCGATACCTCAAAGTCAGACTATTCCAAATATGCTACATTTCTCCCATGTTTTCACACAGATATTTGGGCATTTACCAACAAATTTTTTCCTCCTTCGGCATATCTTCTTCAGTCATTATTTTTAGTGGAAGCACCAAATAATCTTATACAAAGCACAAGTGTAAAAAATTATGTAAATCTCCCAAAATGAGAAGGTGTAGAAATATGGGAGAGATTTCGTTAGTATATGCCCCACATGAGGCGATGATGCAAATGCACCTTTGCATGAAAGGGAGCCTTTTGATCTACTTATATTTACAATTAAATCTTCAGAAAATGTAACACAAACAGTAATAAATTCCGAGCAAAATGCTTCAACAGTTTCTCCAAGAAGGTGGCGAAGATCAGTGGAAGCGAAGAAGATCGCATTAAAAATGTACCTGTTGCTGATAAAATTTAGATATAGAGAGGAGAGAACGTGAGAAGTGGCCGAAGAACATCACCCAAGGCTATAATCATCAATTTGGGTAAATTGATTTTTCGCACAGAGTCGAGCGATCGACAGTGTGTGGCATCGATCGCCATTTCTCTAATTAATTACTTGCCCAGGAAACGGGCATTTTTGCCACAGATACACAATCGCCAATGGTTAATTTGAATACCATCGTGACTTCTTGCCGAGCGCAGACGCCAAAATGACCACGAGGACAATAAATATCGGCAAATCAGCGCGCCACAAATAACACTCAACTTTATAATGAATCAGTTCAGAATTTCTGGCACCAAATCACGAGGTTAATACCCATATTTGACCCATCTTGTGAAGGAGAATTCTCGCCCCCTTAATTATCTCTCCGTGTACTCAGTGAAATGCATTCACAAAATCACTGAAAAGAAATCTCAGAATGCTACTCACACAAGACTTAATGTAAATGGGCGGAAAATAATTAAAGGTTAATTTGTTGTGAACACAAAAATATATGAAACTTTTTTCAACATTGCAGCTCGTCGACATGCCAAAGAGGTTAAAGATGATGAAGCAGATCAACAGAATTAATTGCATGAAATAATTGATTTTTCTCGATGCTGTGCGATGCCATCTAGTAAGAAATTGAATATTTGATGATCATCCTGTAATCTCGATTTATCTGAGAAGGCGCGCCTAATGAGGATGTTCGGGATTAAAATCTTGATAAATTGAAGTGATGGTTTAGAATCTGAGTCTGCTCTTTTAGATCGAAGTTTCTCTTTCATATATCTTTTATACATAGTCCAGTCGATAAAAACCAAGTCCGAGTTCATTACCAAACTAACAACCTTGGACTAGCAGCATGAGTTTGAAAAAATTACGTACCAGAAACATTAGTACTTTACATTTGCACTTCTTTACCCAGAGCAAAAGTTGTAAGATGTAATTGCAAATTATGAAATGTCTATTTTTTAAAAGCATAAAAAGAACGAAAATTGACAAGCTGACAAAATGGAAATTGCATTTCCACATTGAGTGAAGAAGCTGGATGGCACATGCGGATGATGCCTCCACACCAGCGGCTTCCAAGTGCATTTGCTGTCTTCGCATCATTTCCCTTCTCTCTGTGCGAAGATATGGGGACCTGATACGACGAGCACCAATACAGCGAGACCAGCCGGCAATCACACTTGTGCCGGCGACTTAAGCTAATCCCGAGACGTTCGTTTTGACTGATTTTCAGTGCGCTACCGACTTTGCTGGCTGCCAGACGTTCTACTCCGCTCTCAGTCGACGATTCTCCCACTTAAGAATTAAAAGGTCGACGGCGAAGTTTCTTGTCAGAGGAACACAATATTCTCGGACTTTTGATTTAATCGGTGTCTTGTGAGAACATTTTCATGATCGATTGACTTTCAATCACGTCAAAGTGAGATATTTTTTTCAGAAATCAAACTTGTGTTGAAAAAAGAAGCAAATATTTGCTATAGGTGTATTTTGGAATATCAGTGCGAGGAAAAGTGATTTTCTATACGTTTCTCGAATATAAGCGCGTGTATTCAAATCGCTCGGGTGCATATTAACTTCTTATCGCCGACACAGAAGAGGGGTCTTTTCACGGGGGATTAAAGCACCTCAAAAGACTTACACATGATAGTGCAGTGAATCGTATTTTTTTGTAATGTTCATCCTTCATAAATCAGTATCTTACCAATTTTTATTGTGAGGATTACTTTTACGTCGCCAAATAAAATTTATGGTGTGTGCCTTTTTTGTCAAGTGTGCTGAACGTGGATTTCATTTGGGAATTTTACAGTGAGATATGTAAGAGAGACGAAAGCCCAAGAGATATACCTGTAAAGGAGCGCCAAGTGAATTTAAATCAATTGCGATAAATCGTTTTGTTGTGGAATTGAAAGAAGGTTCGTCTTCAGCGACATATCCCTCTGTTTACAAAAACTGTGTTGAGAGCAAAAACAGCCGAAGGAGAGGAACGATTACTGAAGGTTGGTTTTAAACCTTTGAGTTTGTCTTTTGTAGTGGCACCAGACAAAAAGTGATGCATTGGAGCAACAATTTGAGGCACACACCCCTCATTCTCGGGTTGTCTAAATCAAATAAATCCCTCGCAATATAAATTTATCGAAATATCTTAAAAGCACATTAAGACTCATCTAATTTCTATGACTCTATACTCATTCAAAGACGGCTCTAAAGTGGATATTCTTAAAACCAAATATTTACAAATTGCTCAATATGAAAAGTGATTTGTATTTGAAGTTTGATTGAAAATTTATATTTACCACAGAAAGGGAAATAGTTCTAGGAAATATGTCAAATATATCAGAAAAGAATATCATAAGTGGCCAAGGAAGATCCACGATCTGTTTTGGGTGAAAGAGAAAAACGAAACCCAACATTTTTCTTGGAACAGTGAAAATTACAGTTCCAAGGCAATCAAAATGTTGAAGATTCGACGATTAAATCATTCAGTAATATGTTATTATCCTATTAGAGGTGATTTGTGTATTTTTTCGAGTGATTTTCCACATAAAAATTAGCAAAAAAAAGTGAGGGTAATTTAATCACATTTTGGCGTATTTTGAAAATGCAGATCATACAAATAAATTGGAAAAGAAGTTTATTGTTTATCTAACAGATCAGAGAACTGTTTTTGATCAACAGAGACACTCTTCGGGCAATTCAATTTTATTTATTTCGCAAGACGTGATAAAACCATTGTTACTTGCTGAATAAAATCATTCTGTGTGTGTATAAAAAATGCATTTCCACCATCAATATTTCAATGTTTGGATTAACTTCTTGGGAAAACATCTCAAAACTTTCACCCCAGATGAGTAATAAAAAAATGTAATCACACTATTTTTAACTTCTAATATGACGCAAAGTGTGAATAGTGAAAAATGGGATTCCATCTCCAAAGTAAAACTTTATTGAAAATAAATAAATAGTGAGAGATCACAGATGGAATTTCTTCACCCTCAAAAAACTACGTACAAAAATTTCATGCAATCGCTTTTGCGTTCTTATTTATGTGGAATTGCGCACAAAAAATACCCAGCCAATATTCTTTTTCATTCCATTTTTCAAGACTCGACAAAAGCAGAAAGATCGGAAAACAATAGAAATTCCTGCATTCCGTATTCCAAATATTGATCTTCCCAGACATTCTTTCAAGGATTTCGCACTCAAGTGCACCGTCATGCCCACTGGAGATCTTATCATTTCGCGTTTCTCATTATAAGCAGTTAATAGTGCTATTTGAGAAACTAGAATTTGATGTTGTAAGAATGATTTTCATGTTTCCCATCCACAATGATCAGTTAATTATGTTAAATTAGAGAATCCTGCTGGGAGTTTGACGTGTGACAAATTGCACGAAGAAAGTTTGTCAATAAAGATAATAGAGTTATAAGGATGGAGAAATTGTGGAGAATTTAAATAGACAGGAGAAACAGTTCAATGATTTATTGATCGATTCGAGAGGAATGCCGGAGAGTTAAAATCCATTTGACCAGAATATACAGGGTATTTTAGTCATTTGAACCTGTATAAAAATTGGTTATTTCATAATCAATGTTTGAGATGGAGTAATAATACGTTACTGTCCATCCTGTGGTGTCACCGAACTTGAAGAACCACTCATTTAGTATGTGTTTGGTTGAAAATTGATGTTTCACCTTACATTTCAATTACCACGAAAGTCCCACAATTATATTGATAAATTCTAAAGCCCGATAGGCATCTCCTCTTTTCTGTGCCTTCAACTGAGCCCAGCCCAAGAGACACTTTAATCACTGTCACTTTCGTTTCACACCATGAATTTATCAAAATTTCAACTTGTGCACCCAAACAACCTGTAGAACAGGCAATTACCGGATTTCTTACACAGTCCTCCAAGTGAGACGTCTCTCTTCTGATTACGTGGCGGATGTTTTATGTGTATTCATTTTCATCACTTGATATCGCCCGCGAAAAGTGTCGTGGTGGAATTTCAACAGCAATATCCGAAAACATGACAAATAGGCTGCATTTTGTAATTTATTTACCTATTTCTTCAGCTCGGCCGCAGCACAAGACACTAAATGGGTGAGCATTCGCCACCCACACACACCTCACAGCCAAAGCGCACGAGAAAGATGATTCTCGAGAATTTATTGCTGCGTGAATGATTAAGCTTTTGTTACACATTCATTATTGTAATTTTGTCAGTGGATCCTCCGCACAAGAGAATGAGAGTTTAGGTGGATCGAAGTGCCACACAGAAATAGCTTTATGCATATGTGAATCAATTTACTAAATGGAATTCAACCATTCAGAATAGACTGACTTTTACAGGTCAAGGGGCTATTCATAGTGCATTTTTATTTCTTTAATAATTACTATTGAAAATTAATGCAATCGGACAATGACAGTTTTCAATAAATATGTTTGTCCACATTTATAAAAAGGTTTCGGCGTTTATTCTAAAGTAAGGTATAAGATTGTATAATTTAGAAGCCCATCAGTGTAAGATCATCTTGTTTATCTTTCAGCTTAAAAGCTCACCGTAGAGAATCTCTTCACAATAAACCTACTTAAATGGTTTCTGCTTTAGAACTAGTGATTTGTGGTGGATTAATATCTTGATGTAAATGCGACATTTGCATCTCAAAATAATATCCATCCGCATGAATTTCAACTCCATCACTCCACAATACAGTGAATTTTCCGTCACATTTCATTCAAATCAACTCAGAAGCTGAAAGATTGTCAATTCAATAAAATTTATGCTTTCAGTGAGAAATTCATTAGAAAACACCTCAAATGCTTCCCAAAATATCATGAAAGTTAAAAGCATTTTCGGTCACCAAAGTCACTTGTAAGAAAATAATCTGCAAAAATAGATTTTGGTCCAGAAATAGAATTATGAAGTGATATCAAATGACGAAGAGAACATATGTATGGAGAAACATGATTTTCCAGAAAAGACACAATCACCCATGTGTAACACTCTTGCTTATAATGGACCACATCCAGACTTGTGAATCATCCACAGATTCCACCCGATGAAGCGTGATCAGTAAGAATAATATTGATTTGCATGCTCAGAATATTCCCACGAAGGATTTTGCATAAACTGAATAATAAATTGAGTATAGAATAAATTATGGGATAAGCAAAATTTAACTTTTTAGCATATTTTTGTCATATTTCAAGTTCTATTCTTTCGAAGAAAGTTTTATTGCCGATTTTGTGAATAACAGAACATTTTTTATGCTATTTTATAGGTAGGCAGTGGAAAAAATGAATTTACAAACTTGGAAGTTTTATATAGATTATAAAAAGAGAAAGAAATCAACATTATTTTCAAATGTATGTATGTGGTGAAAGTCTCTTAACTGTATAATCTACCAAAAATTTTGTCGTTCACCTATAAATTGATAACTTTATCACATCACTGCGCAAATTTTCAGTCTAAAATAAACAATCTTCCACTGTTCATCGTAGATTTCAAGGAACTGATTGCTGGAAATGCCGTAATTTCCTGTCAACATTACTCATCTCTGACCTTCTCTCTAGTGTGCCCGAATTGTGTAAAAGATTTCGACCAATTTTCTCAAGTGTACGAAACGCTTCAACTCCTCCTGATCGTTGAATTAATATTCTGCACCTGTTTCTAATTTTTCCTACGTCTCCCTCTCAACTTTCAGATAATTTAGCAACACAAAATGACAGCAACTTCCCTTCCGGCGTGAAGAATCTGCGGTGAAGTCTTTTGCCAAGCTCTGCACTTCCATGGATTCAATTTATAGAAACACCATGGACATACGGCACAGTCACATATTCCTCCTGACGCTCCTACACATCTTGCTAATAGTCTCAACGGTTTCTACGAGAAAGATTCCAGCGTCAGACAGCGAGACCATCTCTATTAATTTGGGTGAGTGATTGCGAGACAAATGTTGGCCATTCGATAGGCAAAAAGAGGAATGGAATTTTTGGCTAAAGACAACAAATGGAATTTCTCTGTTGGACTTCCCGATATTCTTACATGTTCCAACATATGCATGCACACTTTGAGGATCATACTTGAAAAAGGAGATCTCCTTTTAACAAGGTCATTAAGCTTGAAAAGAAAACACCAAATCATCCAGGAAGGATCTTTAAAAGGACCATTCCGAGGGCGAAATTTGAGATTTTCCGCTTATAACAACATCCATTTGCGTGCTAAAGCAGCCCTCATTATGGCAAACATCTACCCAAAAAGAGAAACTCTCTGTATAGATGCATAATTTGCATGCATGTGGCATCTGGAAATAATCCTAGTCTATAATTGAATTGCCACATTCAAGTACATTCATGCCACTGGTGCGCAAACTTCGACACACTCCATTAGAAACCATAGAATGGGCATCTGATTAATTAACTCTATCAGCCACAAATTCTACCTAAACGCCCACTCTCCTAGTCTCATCGGCATGATAAATAGAATTTATCTGCCACATAGGAAAGCGATTCATTTTATTTTTGCCCCGGATTCTAATCCCTGTTTACATTGGACTTAAGTCCCTCAAAGTGAATTTCAAAGAGATTCTTTACGCTGGATTTTTGCTTTCATTTCCCAACACCTTGTCTGCACAGTCTCAATTTTGTGTAGCTAATTTACGACAAGAAAAATAATAATTTATTATTTCACGTCGACTCTCCATATCACCCAGGATTAGGCATTAATATTGTGGAAAAAAGACTCCGCGGCGGAAAGAGTAGTATAACGAAACTGTTAATATATTAAACGCGTCGTAAGTGATTTATCGTTTCATTCGTAAATCATTTAACAATATGAATAAATTAATGCAGATACAGACGAAGACATCGAAGCAGAGAAGGTGATAACTGCTCGAAGATTATTTAACAGGATCTCGGAAAGAGATTTGCAAATTAATTGGAAAAAGGTGAAATTTATGCCTGAATATTCACACGATTCACACTATTTTAAGAACCTAAAACATCGTAATTTAGCCAATTCAATAATCAGCGAAACGAATTCCAGTCGAAGAGGATTAAATAAATATTCATGATATTCTTATAAAAATAGTTGACACCTAATGAAATATTTTTAAAAATGTGTACAAATTTCCGATTATGCTTATTAAATGACGTCTTGCAGTTAATTCGTCATTTAGACAATATTATATAGTCAAGATCAGCTAAATTCTTAGATAAAAAGAATTATTTTTCTTAAAATGTCAATAGAAAAATTTATTTATAATTCTCTAAAAGTCCTCTTTTGATGTATGCTAATCAGCAATCTCAAAGCGAGATTGTTGCATTTTATGTTTCTGGCCTGAACCATAAAATTCGATCCAGTTTATCAAATTTATGAGAATTGGGACAGATGTCAAAGAGAGACCTATTTATTCACTACATCGACCAGAAATTGTCTCAAAATGAGTGACTCACTCACTAATATTGAGGGAATAAATCATATTGAGAGACCCCAAGGAGAGTCACAATTTCCGAAAAGTCGAGGCAAGGAAATTTCTATAAAAATTCGTCTTGAATCAGCTCCATTCATGATTTAAATAAATAATGAAGCATACTTTTTACCCTCCTTGACTTTAATGCTGAATACATTGTGGCATCTGGCATGAAGGATGCACGAAGGAACCATTTTACAACGAATTTTATCACTTCTCAGAAAGAATTTGTCGAAAAGAAGTCATTGTGTGCAAAAGTGTTCGGTCATCTTAAAATTCATCGCACTCTTAACCATTTCCTCAGAATTACTTATATCGCACGAGAATTAGCAACCACTCATTCTAATTCACTGTCCAAATTTAAATTTTGTGCCATAAAACTTCAATAATAAATTCTACGTATTAGAATTGAGCTGCTCAGCCAAATCATAAATCTGTGTAGAAATCACTCGTGAGGTGTGAAAATAATATGGTGAAAAGAACAGACAGATTAGTGACGATTAAGCACAACACATTGCATGAGTTTTTTTCCGCCAAAATGCCAAAAGATGAAATGTTGTACATGGGAAAGATCACATTAGTTTATTTTAAAATTCGCCTTCATTTCGTGTCCATCATCATCAGCGCGAAGCAGACATTGAGTTTGGCTGTTTGAGTGCTTTTCCTCGGCTCGTGATTGAGATTTCTGTCGAAAAAATCAATTGTGGGCAGTGAAAACTGCCCCATTTTGGTGATTCGTGCCACATGACGATCGTACATTCCCAATTTTATCATCAATTTTCTGTCAATATAGAAATAAAAAAAAACTAACCAGACGACGTTATACACTGTGTGCCCCATTCGTAGCTCACTATAGCCATGATGACTGAAATCATCCCCTGCACATTTAAGTGTAATTGATATAAAGTACATATGATTAAAACATCTTATTGCGGCGAGCATTTGTAACTCATCACAACATTTTGATCCTCGGTATACGAACTCAATACTTTCTCCCCTCAAAGTGGTTACATTTTCATGTTCCTCCATTTAATAGTCCCATTTGTCTGTTCACACTCTGTTGAATTGGATTTTTTTACGTCATCTCCACGATAAGTTCAAAGTTCTGATGCCTCGACGAATAACTTTTCAAGCAAAAGTGTCTTCCATGGTACTATTTTGACATTGATGATCACGCCAGCGAGGGGAAAATGAGTGATCGACACTGATTTATTGATCACCAAACGCGATCATCAAGCCTTTAACGCCCTGTGTGTGTGATGATGCCAGAAAGGTGGATACAATTCTAACAATGAATCTCCAGCTATTCTAGTGTTAATCATCTCATTGTCTTTGCCACGGTTCACCTCTTGCTCAGATCACTTACACCTCTTCACGGTGGTCATTTAACAACCGTGCAAATCTGTCCACAATTGTATTCAGCAGCAAATACGTTCCTTGCTCCAGCCAGAGAAGAATCACGTTTCTGCACCCTTATAATTATTCATCGTCTTGTAATTTACTCCAACCGTGATTTAATGCTGAGACACTGACCGCGGCGTGTCTCATCATTTTATTGCTTGTAATATTCTGAAATATGGCAATGTTCTGTGCAAAATACTAAATGCAAAAGATGCAACAGAGTACAAGTTTATAAGATGCCTTTTATTTAATATTCTGCTGCAACTGCAATTTTCGCGTTACTTAAAATGTTATGTGCTGCATTGATTTATTGTTATGCACGCATGAATTCTAATTATTGCTGAGGAATCTCAATCTATTTTGTATTATTGCAACCCCTATTCTTGTTTTTGTCTTTATATAGGGGTTTATTGAAATCCACCATCAGTGGTGCATTTAATTAATTTCCAATTGAGAGAGCAAACTGTTCAGGGTCATTTGAGACATTTTCGGTGGGAATCACGATAAATTGGAGATGATATTCAAAGTGCATAAGTCATTAAATACGATACCAAATACAGACAATCCAGAACGAATGTGGTTCTGGTCGACTGAAGGTCCTCGGATGGTGAAACACGTGTCTGACAGATGTGCAGGCATCCCTCCTGTCTTTTTATGTCTTCCACTGCATAGTTGTAAAAGAAGTGCAGAGGAAAAAACTGCCTACAAGACGGTGTCTCTTGCCATCATCATGTCTAAAAGACGAGGGAGAGACGCGCATCCAGGCTACCATGTAAATTCTGGCGAGAGATTTATCTCTCTTGAAATGTTCCATGTGCTCAGCAAACATTTTGCACTTGCAATCCTTCTATAAAATTCTCTTTGCAGAACTAGATGTCTTTCGCCTCACGTAGGCCGTCATGAAGACTTCCGAAATGCTGCGTCCGGGCGCGCAATATTGCTAGATTATCAATTTGCACGCGCAATTAAATGTGGCTCTTGGCATTATTACAATTCATCATAAATTCTCATACCTGTTGCGCATAAATTACATAATCAAGCGATTGTTTAGAAGATGCTCATATAGAGAGTGTCAAAGAACGTTTAAGTATATTCTTATTGCGTTTCACTTGGAAGCACCGTTCGTGTCTCCTTTTTGGCATCTCGTATTCAGAATAATATCTTGAGTGTCTTTCCTTCCTGTTTACGCCATGTACATATACTCTTCCAAATATCCCAACCACATATTTGAAAGATTTCCGGCTAAAGTGTAAAAGAACAAAGACCACTTCACTCTAATAAAAGTGCCTATATCCACTCTCACCTTCTCATACTCAAAGCCAGAGAGAGAAAAAAAGGAGTTACAATAAAAATCTAGTCAAAGTGCGTGTTTTCCACTCTTCAAATGAAATAAAATAAATATTTTTGCTTTATGCTCCAACACTTAAGATGAATTTACATTTTTTCATCAGCTCATTTTCGTGAGATGAAAGCGAAATCTTGCCATTTTATTGCCTGTTCCTCCACTTGGACACTTTCATTGAGAAGTTTTCTTTTTTTCATCTCACTCGGCATTGGAACAATAAAACCCCTCATATTAATGTTCAATTTAATTGGTGGTAATTGAGTCATTTCGTTGAATCTCACAACATAACAGCGGAAGTGGGACATTTCAATATTCTTAGCTGTGATCGCTGTAATATAAATGGGACGCGGTTTGTTTTTAAAATTCTAGGGGAAATTTCTCCTTATCATTACCTTTTTCTTCTCCACATTATCCTAATTAAAAATATGTCACTGTCACCCTTCTTATCGTGTCCAAATGGGCTTCTTTATCAAGTTCCACCCAAGAGTGTGGCGGCGAACAACCTGAAGAATTCTTACTAACGTCCATTTCTTGATGACAAATATACGATAATGTTTGACAATTAAACTTGTGATGTTCACATACATAAATAGTGAATTTATAAGGAGGACAACTTACGCAAGAAGTGGAAGAAAAAGCTCAATATGAGACATCAACTTGGACATCAATTAAATGGCTTGTGGGCCTGACTGACAAGACATGTGAGGAAGATGCATCGAAGGGAAAAATCGAGCTTGTTAACAAATATCCACCAACACAATTATTTATTAATGATCGTTAAAGTGTCTAGACGAGTTATTTTTTGATACATAATCTGTTTGACGAAGACTGCTCTCATCTTATTCGTTTCTTCTTATGTCCGTATCCAATCATATTCATCTCAACCCTTGTTTGCGCGAGACAAAGAGTGGAAACGTGTAAAATTTCAATTTATAGCGGCAGAAGATTCTGTAAATCTCTGTGAATACTCACTAGCACTCAGCAATGGCGTGTAATTGAATGTGAAAAAAGTCATAAAGTCAATTAAACGGCTGTTTAAGACCTGTCGTCTCCTTGTCTCAGTGCATTAGTGTCCATTTCTTTAATTTACCGACGTGTGCACATCTTAAATACGCCAAACATAAATACACACCGGCAAATATGAACAAATAAAATGCGAGACTTGAATCACGCCTTTGTACTATAAAACACAATTTTATTACCAATAGATTAACATGAACCCTCATTTGCACATGCTGTGTGCCTCTTTCAGCCGCGTAAAATGTGGCAAATAGGTGATTCGATAAATTATTTATTATTGATTCAATGCACGAAACATCTCAAATTCTCCACTAATGATCGACCCCGATCCTCCCTGCTCCCCACTTCACCGTAGAATGTTTCCAAAATGTGTGTGTGCGTGTGCCATTAAAAGACGCCCATTTAGGTGAGGAAAAAGTAAAATGAGGCGTACGCATACGAGATCCCGATTAATTTCAAGGAAAATTTAATTTCAATTTTACTTTCAAACGAACCATCTTTCGGCTAAACCTCTTTCCATGTGCACACACATTATAAAAATACACCAACTCATGGCCAGAGTCAAAGGATTCATCTCAGTGCCACACAATCTGCTTTCATATTAATTTAATCCGCATGATTTTCTATCGGCATCATCACTCGTGCATGAATGCTGTTGCATATGAGGGGAAAATGCATCAGGAGAGAATGCTAAATGGCTTGTTTTGTTGATCACAATCATCATCAACTGAAGAGATTATCACAATATTGTCTGTATGAGTGACTTACAAGATGCTTTTTGTTGCACACAAAAAGCTGATTGTCTCTTTATTTTCCTCTATGCATTATAGTTGTGGATTCTTTAGTATGCACTGCATTTCTCATTACTCAATTCACATTCAATTGCTGCGCTAAAAAATCAATACAGTGCCACATAGTGAAAGGGCACAAATATGTGAAATCAACTCCTCATGCTCTATTACACATGCCAAAACTATTTCAGAAATTTCTTTCCAATTTGCTAAAATAGCGAATTTTCACGCCGGGTGGTGAGAAAACACACGTTTCGTCTGTTATTGAGTTCCAATTGAGATGTTCCTCTTTCTTTTGATGCTCACAACGAGGAATTCTGGGAACCAAATTTCGTATAGCACGGTTATAGTAAAATGCCATCTTTTCATGTTTCTCAAGAATTTGGATATTTGCAAATCTGTGTACGATTTGCCCCAAAATTAACAGCGCACATCTTCTCAGTATAGCGCGTGTCTGCTCTTCCTTTGGGATGAAACAGTAAATAAGTGTATGTGGTACAGAGTACATGACTATGTGGTACATTGGGAGCGTTTTGCTTTTTAACGTTTTCATAAATTTTAAACAAATGCTATTTCCGATCAGAAGGCCACAAGAGGCAGCCCAACAAAGCCCCGCGATCTAATATTGAATTTTCAGTTCACCAGGCAGTGAAATTCGATTTATTTTTCCCAATAATCCATGAGAGAGTGTATTCAATTTTATGGGTATTCACGCCGCGTCACGAAATTATTTCCAACGGGACTACATTGTATACATATTTGCCAGATCAGAATATGTTGGAAAAACTCTCTTACCTCAGAATTTGAGAGCGTTTTATAATCATTTTCTTTTTATCTCTAATTCAATTAAAACAGGACAGAAAAAGGTGCTTCGAGAAACAGTTCCAGTCTTCTCGAGGGTTGTACTTAAATGCAGCTACGACAGTCCATTGTGGTTTAGGAATGCATCACCACTTGAGCTAAACTCAAAGCAGACAAAAATGTGAGACTTTTCAAGCTCTCGAGACTCTGAGGACTCCTCAATAACATCTATTTATTTCTCAATAGAATCAAATTCGAGAGGATCCGCAAGGCAGATGCGGCAGTTTATGCCTGTCATTCCGCACAGAATGAATGGTCGAATCTCACACTAACTGTGGACAACAGATCCCGATCAGTGCCTGAGGATGATTCAAACTTCTCTGGAAATCTTGAGATTCAGTCTCAAATATCTGAAAACATGCAATTGGGAGACGACCTTGACTCGGATGACTACTTCGACGAGCAAATTATTCAGACATCAAAGGACGATCCTGATGATCTCGTGGATGCCTCAACAAGATCACCAATTCGTGACAACTCATCAACACACCTTGTTGCTCCATATTTCAGCAAGCCAGGAACCTTGTCTCGGCTTTTGGCACGTCCATCAGGAAATATGGTCAAATTGAAGTGTAATGCTGCTGGCAATCCTGATCCTAACATCACCTGGACTAAGAATGGAAAACCAATTCAAAGAAAATACGGACAGGTTATCTATAACAAGAGGTCAATCACCCTTGAGGATCTCATCCTGGAAGACGCCGGAAACTACACCTGCAACGTTTGCAATTCGCTGGGATGCATTAATCACACCATAGCTCTCATAATCCAAGGTAGAGTATCAAAGTCCATATCATAACACTCTATTTATTAAACCTAGTATTACTATACTCATTATAAAATTATCTTATGACCATAATAGATAGAAGATCTCATTATTTAGGAGATATTGAGATCTATTCCCAAATATCTCAGAAACATCCCCAGAAAATAATTGTGGATAATGGGGTTAATGAGATCACAGACTCCTCAGTGGAGACCTTAATTGCGAAAAATACCACCAACACAGCCAAAAACACAGCACTGAGTGCACCAGTCTTCATCAGAAAGGAGAAAATGTTTATGCTATGCTCAAAACCAACTGGACACACAATATCCCTCAAGTGTGCAGCGACTGGAAACCCACCACCTGTAATAACGTGGTTGAAGAACAATGGGCCAATAAATCGCCACCTTGGCGACACACGATACACCAAATCTGGTCTCGTGATGGAATCCGCAGTCCCAAGTGACGCTGGCAACTACACGTGCAACGCCTGCAATACGATGGGCTGTATCAATTTCACATATCATGTTTCAGTTATGGGTAATTGAAATATGGACTTAAGTAAAGGACATTGTACTAATCCTCCCACCTCCTTATCAGATCGATACCCTTCACGACCGTATATTATCTCACCACCAGTAAACCAGACTGCCGTTCTTAACAAGACAGTCACGTTTTCGTGCGAAAGCCTGAGTGATTTGGAAGCACATACAGAATGGTATAAGTTCCGATCGAAAGCTAAAAATGGAACAGATCTCCCAGAACATGCCAAATTGAAGGTAGTTCTCGTTACGTTCTTCATCTGGTGATTGGTTTTTTTCTGTCCTTTCCTGTCTGGTTCAGTGTTTCACACAGTTGCCTAAACATTCTTTCCAGGTCTCAATCTTCAGCTACTGTTTTGGGGATAATTATAGTTTTTATGTATTTCAGAAGGTGGTGGATATTTGTATGTTTCGTATTCTTCAATTTCAGAAACCATAAATCACAGACCAATCTTTACACCGCATCCCAGCAATTTGACTCTATCACCTGGAGCTTCCGGACAAATTGAATGCAAAGTGGTGTCTAGCCTTGGTTACGCTATAGAGTGGTTGGAAGGTTTTTGTCATGATCCCAAAAATTGTACATCATTGCTCAAAAAGGTGAAGGTTGTTGCATGAAAGACAGATTTATTGCATGGCTTTTTATAAAACCCACACCCCAGATCATACTACAATGCTTTTATTTCTAAATCCAAGCATTTTCTATTGAGGTTCTGTTCTTAATATTAAATTTACCGCACTTTCAGTCGGAGTCTGATAGTCCTGGAATCTTAAAATTAGAGAACGTCACATACGATGACGCTGGGTGGTATACTTGTTTCGCAGCCAACACTTTAGGAGCCACCACGGCGAGCGCCTACCTGCACGTTGTGGAAGAGCCACCTCGAGTCACACCTATCAGAAACTACAGCATCTACACTATATGTGTAATTGCCTTCTCTGTTCTCCTCCTCCTATCGTCAATCCTGATTGTCTGCACTTACAAGAAGCTCAACCGGGAGAAATTAATTATGAAACATCGCATGCAGACGGTCCATCAGTGGAATAAGAAAGTCATAGTCATCAAGCCCGCTCCAGATTCTTCAAATCCTGATGCCGTTATCGTACCTATCATCAAAATTGAGAAACAACGTACGACACAGATGCAAAGTGTGAACAACGATCCTCAACCCATCTCTGAATACGAATTCCCCATGGACTCCAATTGGGAGTTCCCCAGGAATCATTTGGTTCTGGGCAAAACCCTGGGCGAAGGTGCTTTCGGGCGTGTCATCATGGCTGAAGCCAATAGTTTGGTCAAGAACGGCTATGGATCCGTTGTGGCAGTTAAGATGGTGAAAGAAGGACACACAGACTCAGACATGGCGAGCTTGGTTCATGAAATGGAAGTTATGAAAATGATTGGGAAGCACATCAACATAATCAACTTACTCGGTTGTTGCAGTCAAAATGGACCACTCTACGTCATCGTCGAATATGCGCCGCACGGCAATCTAAAGGATTTCCTCAAGAAAAACCGACCTCGATCGGAGTTTGAGATTCCATGTGTTACCAAAACTGAGGCAGAGGAATACGATCCTGATAAGAAGAACCTCACACAGAAGCACCTCATTTCGTTCGCATTCCAAATTGCGAGGGGAATGGAGTACTTAGCTTCTAGAAGGGTAGGTTAGCGCGATCCTTTTCATACGATAAGGATTTTGAAGACCTCTTTGTTGCTTTCGCAGTGCATTCACAGAGATTTGGCGGCCCGTAACGTTCTCGTGAGCGACGATTACGTAATGAAGATTGCCGATTTTGGTCTAGCTAGAGACATTCAGGACACAGATTACTACAGAAAGGCAACAAACGGACGACTACCGATCAAATGGATGGCGCCCGAGTCTCTGACAGACAAATTCTATGACACCAAAAGTGATGTGTAAGTCATTACATTACATATCAAGTACACTTTCCCCATTGACTTCTGAACTCATCTCTGACTTTAAGGTGGTCTTATGGAATTCTTCTGTGGGAAATCATGTCTTTTGGAGAGCAACCTTATCCATCAATTTACTCTGCCGATGATCTCAATATTTTCCTACGTTGCGATCATCGTCTAGATAAGCCTAAACGTTGCTCAAATAACATGTAAGTCTAAAAATCTAGAATTTAATCATGGAATGGAAATTGATTTTCCCAAAATCATTTCAGATACATGCTTATGAGACAATGTTGGCAGTTTAATCCGCAAGATCGGCCAAACTTCTCCCAACTGGTTGGCGATCTGGACAAAATCCTGAGTGCAACAGCTAACGATGAATATCTAGACTTGGGTGTGCCTCTACTCGAGACACCCCCATCGAGTGACGACGAAGAATCCGACACAGAAGCTCACAGAGAACTGCTTCATTCAAATTTTTAAGTCCGAATATCATCCTTCTCGCCGGTAAGATTTCATAACATCGAGAAAACTCACTCGACGACGGAGGATTCCTATAAGAGCATTAGAAGCAATTGAAAAGAACCAAAGGACTGAAGAAACTATACATTGTAAGAACAACGCAATCAGTTCTTTCAAAAATTGCTTAATTGGAATAGGATTTTCCACATTTGATAATCAATTATGTGGAAAATATCTCTGATGTTGTCTATATTAAGATATAGGAATATACTTTGTAGTGTCATTTTATAATTGTTTATTTAATCTCGCTAAGACTGTATCTTCATTTGAGTGTTGTAAATCTATTATTATCAATTGAATTTATATGCAGAAAAATTTGAGATCAATCTGACAAAATTATGCAATAATTCTAAGTACAAACTGGTCTCAAAGAGGAAGATTTTCTGACCTTTTGCATGTCATTTGCAAAACGCAGAACATATAAAATTATGCATTGTTCAGCAGTATTTGAGACAAATCAAACGAAGAGCAAAGAAAATTTGTAAATACATAATGATATTTAGATAATAAAATAAATTGTAATAAAATTTGTCCTGAGCTTAGAAGAAAACGATAAAAATCATTCTCAAGTGACGATCTTACATCTACTTACTGATGTCAGTAGATTGGAAAGCCTGGATCAATATTCTTCGTCCAGGCGTGAAGTCCTCCAATTATGTCTTTTGGGGCATTTTCACCTTTGATGTGTTCTTTCAACATCTTTACTGCTTTTTGAGAGTCATTCCCACGACGACACACAATGAAAATGGGAAGTTTCTTGCTGGCCAAATCCTTCGCGATGTCCTCAATCTTGGAACTCTTTATGTCCTCAATTGAGATGTTCATGGAATTTTGAAGAGCGCAGATTTCCATCTCATTGGGCATTCGCACATCAACCAGGAGATGTGGTGTTTTCGTTGTCGTAATCTCAAGGTACTCTTGTGCAGATATCCTCTCATTGGACTGTAGTAGATCCACTTGACGATCTTTATCATTCGCCGGAGCTCCACAGAACATTTCGTAGTCGATCAATTCGATTATTGTCGGATTTTCTGAACAAGAAGCACAATCAGCAGTTTTTCCACGCAATTTCAGCGTCCGGAACCTTCCATCGAAGCCATCAAAGACGAGGAGACTCCTTGAGAGAACTCCTTGAAAATCTAGGAGTATCTTGATAGCCTCAAGTGACATCAAAGAGCCAATGACACCCGTGATGGGCCCCAGAACTCCACCATCACCACAGTTCTGCACGTGATCAGGATTTGGTGGCTTTGGGTGAATGCAGCGATAGCAAGGTCCGTCCTTATAGTTGTATACCGTCAGCTGACCGTCGAATTGGAGGGCACTGCCGGATACCAGCGGTTTCTTTGCCAGGACACAAGCGTCGCTCAGTAGATACCTCGTGGCTACATTATCAGTGGCATCCAGCACAATATCATATTCAGAAATGATTTTCAAAGCATTCTTACTGCTCAACTGTGCATGGTAAGGATTGATATTCACTCGTCCATTCATCCGGTACAGAGTTTTCTCCATAGCAGTGACTTTTGCGGTGCCAATGTCAGCTTCCGTGAAGAGAGTCTGCCGGTGAAGGTTATTAATTTCGACGGTGTCATAGTCCACAATGCCTATAGTGCCAATTCCAGCAGCAGTTAGGTAGACAGCAGCTGGGCAACCGAGACCACCAGCACCAACAATGAGGATGGAGGCTTCTTTCAGCTTCAGCTGCCCACGAATGCCAATGTCCGGAACCAGGATTTGCCGGCTGTATCTGGCGATCTGTTCATTGGTCAGCTTATTGGGCTCTTCCTTTGAGTATTCCACCTGAGACTTCACCAGGGCCAAGTGCTGTTCCTTCTCCACAAGTTGACGCCTCAAGTCGATCACCTCTTGTTCTAATTCACTGACAAGCTTTCTTAGGCCAGCCATTTTTTGGTAAACAAAGCACCAAAACACAGAATGAACCCAGAATGGACGTTTTCCGAAAACGCATCAGGTACCCGGCTGTCAAGTCTCTTTATAACCCGGCTGAACGCTTCTTATAAGAGTTCATTTTATTTTTAAAAATCCCGAGGCGATTCAGTGAGCCAGAAAATTGAATCAATATGCATAAAAATAAATATAATTTGTGGACAAAATGCACAATTAGATGTCATTTTATTTATCACACCTGCAATAATGCAACATAAATACCAAACGTGTTAGAATCGTTATAATATATCTTTCTAAAACGATATGAAGAATGTCTCTCAAACATTTTAGCATATTTCTTATAGCCTCTCTTGCATCCCATTCTCTGTGTGAATGTGGGATAAATTTATAAACTCTTTAATGAACTTCGCGCTGTAATTATTTCGAGTGAATGAACACTACGAAGGCACGAATGTGTCTCTTTTCTCAATGAACTCAGCAAATTTACTCTCTCAGCGATATCACACAGAGGCAAATGTTGGAAATTAAACTGTCAATCACATGGTCATATCACACGTTCGATTGTGTGATTGATGAGAACTTTTGATAATGCCCATAGAATTCAGCCCGTTGAAAGACCATGGAAATATATGTGAGAAATATCACAGAAAGCAGAATTTAGGGTGGAAATTTGGAAGATTTGCAAAGAGCGCCATGTGAAATTAATTTAACGTATGTAAATCACTCGAAAGAACATTTCTCTTATTTCTTAATTGGTAATGTGACCGAAATTAGTGTGACATCGTGCAGTGTTGGATGAGATTTTTTCAGTGCGTGACAAAATAGAGCAAAAAGATGACTCAAATTGCAGCATTCTATGGTCCAAATTTGCACATATTCTCTTATAAATGCAGCTGCGATCCATTTTGGACTGCACTCCAGTTTTGCTCTCTTTGATGCGTCTCAACAACATCTGAAGGGAGAAGATGAGCTAAAAAAGTGGAGCAGAGCATGTTCAGACGGCGACTGTGAGCAATTTAAAATAGGCTGCCTTCGAAAATATATGAACTCTTAATGGACTTTAAATAAGACTGAAATTGCCAACTTCCTCACACTGTGGAACGGAATGACCTTTGAGGAATCCAATAGCTGATTCCGTGCCATCTCGATAGGCAGATGTGAAACATGAATGAAACATATACATATTAAATCTTGTTTCAGAAATTAATTGCACTCGTTGGTTCCTAACAGCATCGCTACCATCCAGTAAGATGAGATAAACTCAATGACCAAACCTTTAATTCATCAAGCAGGTATTTGATAAACTACTTCAGACACTTCAAGCCAGAGTTACTGTAACGTTATAATTGGAAAGAAAAGGCGCGATTCGCCTTAATGCATAGCAGCGCCCCAAGTGGAGAAATTTTTCGGAGGCGACGCTCGTAGCGCACTTCGTGGTGAACACAGCTGTCAACATATGTTGTGATTTTCATTGCGTGTTTTCTTTTCAATTCTGTGCGAAAAACAAGAAACCCGCGAAAATGGGGAAACGACAGCACCAGAAGGACAAGATGTACCTCACGTACACAGAGTGGTCTCAGTTCTACGGTGGTAAAAAAGTGGACTCCAAGGACGACGAGAATCTCAGGTTCAAGAGACTCCCCTTCGACCACTGTAGCCTCTCGATGGTCCCTTTTGAGCATCCTTACTGCGACCGAAATGGCAATATCTTTGAACTGCAGGCAATTGTGGACTTTTTGCGAAAATACAAAATCAACCCAATCACCGGAGAACCACTGGAAGCAAAGTCCCTTATCAAGCTGACGTTCCAGAAGAACCACGATGATCTCTACCACTGCCCGACTCTTTTCAAGCCTTTCACAAAGAACTCCCACATTGTGGCCATTGCCACAACAGGAAATGTGTTTTCGCATGAGGCAATCGAGCAGCTTAACGTTAAAACGAAAAATTGGAAGGACCTAATAGATGACACTCCGTTTACTAGAAAAGACATCATCGTTCTGCAAGATCCGGGAAATCTGGAAAAGTTCAATATTTCCACCTTCCATCATGTGCGGAAGAATCTGCGTGTGGAGACGGAGGAGGAGCTTGCGGAAAAGAAGGATCCCAAGGGTCGCCTTAAAACCATCTCGATGGAGACAAAAGACATCTTGGAGCAGCTAGAGAAGGACTATAAGCCGGCAGAAGAGATTGTGCAGGAGAAGAAGGTGGCGGACAAATTCAATGCTGCCCACTACTCTACAGGTGCCGTGGCCGCCAGTTTCACCTCCACGACCATGGAGACTGCCCTCAATCACGAGGCAGCAATAATCGCCGAAGACGAAGTGAGGTATGAGAGAGTGAAGAAGAAGGGCTACGTGAGGCTGCAGACCAACCTCGGACCCCTAAATCTGGAGCTTCATTGCGATGTTGTGCCGAAAACCTGCGAAAACTTCATCAAACTCGCCTCGCAAGGATACTATGACGGCACCAAGTTCCACAGATCTATCAGGAACTTTATGATTCAGGGCGGAGATCCCACGAGCACGGGAACTGGAGGAAAGTCCTTCTGGGGGAAGAAGTTCGAGGATGAGTTCAAGCCGAATCTCTCTCATACCGGCCGAGGGATGCTCTCCATGGCCAATTCAGGTCCAAATACCAACGGATCGCAATTGTGAGTTGACTTAAGGAAGGTTTTGGAATATGAAGTTATATTGAAAAATACTTTCAGCTTTATCACTTTCCGGTCGTGTCGACACTTGGATGGAAAGCACACGGTGTTCGGGAAGCTGGTTGGAGGGCTGGAGACATTTAATGAAATGGAGAAAATTGAGGTAGACAACAAGGACAGGCCAATTGAGGACATCATCATTCAGAGAGCACAAGTATTTGTGGATCCTTTCCAAGAAGTGGATGACCAGCTTGCTAAAGACCGCGCCGAAGAAGCTGAGAAGCAACAAAAGGAGTTGGATGAGAAGGAGAGGAAGAAACAACAAGCACAGCCTTTGATCACGTACAGAAAAGGTGTGGGGAAGTACATTAAGATTGAATCCCAAAAGCGTGAAGGGCCGAATTCTGAACCAGGTCCATCGTCAAAGAAAAGAAAGAACATTGCCTACGAGTTTGGCGACTTTAGTTCATGGTAAAACTACAAAATAAACTTATTTGTAGAGCTAATCTGGCTGTTCTCGCTCTTTCCATAGCCTCTTGAGTTCCTGCAATTTCTTCCGTCGGCGATCAGATTCCCGGCTTTTCTGTCGCTCCAAAGATTTTTCTTGATTTTCCACTGAAAATTCTCCATTTATCAGGTTGTCGACTTTCCGGGTGAGAATCTCACGAGCTTCCTTGCGATTCTGACTCGCGGATCGATGAATGTGGCATTTAACAACAATCCCCGTCGGTTTGTGGCGCAAGACACAGCAATTGGAGGTCTTATTTACTGCTTGTCCTCCAGGGCCGCTTCCTCTGACAAAGCTTACCTCGACATCTTCATCAAGGATCCGCGGAACTCGAGAGTAATCAATTGTGGATTTACAGGCAATGCTCAAGCTAGGAAATGGCCTAGGGAAATAGCGGAAGACCACAGATTTCAGCATTTTACACAACCCTGGCCTTTGCTAGAAGAATTTCTCCACGCTGCAAAGTAAGGAGAGCGAAATAAATGCAAAATTCCTGGATCAATGTGACTTGTTTACCTTGAAGTTGAAGAGAATATCCTCTGAAGAGGTTAAGTGTTTGTTTTCTTCAAATTCCTTCCTTATGCGCTTCTTGAAGTACTCCTTGTCGGTAAATTTCAACTGTTCGCCATACTTCAGTAAGTCTCGGTAGAGTTTTATAACTTGTCGACTGCTTGGACTGCTCATATTAGGAGAAAATGTGCAGAAAGGCAAATCCACTAGGCTGAAAAATCAAAACATCCTCGGACAGTGGTGACAACTTCCCTTTTCGCATTGCCTATATTGGCTGCCGTGCTGATTGAGAAGAAAAACAATCACCAAAGAAACGCGAGGAAAATCAATTTTCTCCCTAAATACTGTGATAAAATTGATAAGAATTGCATTGAAAATCTTCCCAGATTCATATCTAATAGTGTGCTTACTAGTAAGTGACTCCTTGTTCTGAAAAACAGAGATTGAAGTGATTTTTCGCAAAAGCCGGAATTCTGCAAAACAAAACTCGATTGACTTTTTGGATGGAGGAGCAATAGTGTTATTGGTATTTAAATATTAAATTTTGAAGCAAGATACGTACAATTATGTCGAATATATTGTAAAATTTGCACAATACTGCTTTGTATTCTTCGTGTACTGATAATTTCCTTTTCAATCAAGGAATAACATCTCCTAAATAGTGCGAGTTTTAGCACTTTGCGAAATATCATGTCATCTCTATTGTTTATTTATGGAAGGAGTTTCGAAGAAAAGAGGGAAAAATGACATAAATTCTGCGCTATTCTTATTGCATTGCACATTGCAGTCTTCTCTTCACTTGCAGGTCACAGAAAATCGCGCATAATTGAGTGGACAGAGTGCGAAAATGCCATAAATTCCACCACCCATTGTAAAGGTTAATTGGGGCGAAAGGAAAGGGACATTGATTGCATAAATTATTCGTGAGTTCTCCCCCATTTCGCCGCTATTCAATGTAAATAGGCCATTTATACACTGTGTGTGTGTGACTCTTTTCAGGAAAATGCCCAGCCAAACAGCGATGGAGAGAAAGGTTCTCTACGCCTTCCGTGGTAAATATTTTCCATTGCTTCGTTTCCGGATCGAGAGACCGCCTAACTAAAATGCACCATTATTCTTCTTCCACGCTTTTCCTGACACAGGATGGATAGCATTCATTGCATTCATGGACTTTGGCACGGCCATTCGCTGCTACATTGAGCGACGGAGCTTCCTCGGGGACCACATGGATGCACAATTCATTGAAGGTTCCTGCCCCAAGTCGTGCGGACACAGCAGAGATTCACAGTTTCCCTTTTCAGGTGACTTCACCGTATCCCGAATCCTGGGAATGTACTGTATTCTGAAGGCGATAGCCTTAGTTCACTGCACCCTCTACATCCACTACAAACCGTGAGTGTTTCTCCGGGCATTTCGTGCCGGAAATTGTGGAGGAGTTGAGCAATTTTCCGATATGCTAATAGCCGCACTCGTTTTCCAGGGTAGTCAGCATGGGGGGCTGTGGATTGGCATTGACCATGGTGCTATACTTTACGGAGGCCTTGTATTTTCGCTCCACCACTTTCAATTTCTACGTCACATTTCCCTGCATTTTGAACTGTGAGTATCAGAGTTGATCTTTCTGCATGATGAGCTTCGCAAGGACATTGGTGACTTTTTTTTCATTTAATGATTTTATATATCAACATTATTTTGTCTTCTATTATTTTCCCATTGCAGATGTTTGGTTTAGTCAAGAGGTCTTGAAAAAAATTATCTTCATCTTGAATCTGTAGCTTTTCCACTTCTGTGGCCATAAACATTCGTTGCAAGAGGCAATTAATCACACTTTCTCACCTCCTCCTTTTGCAGTCATCACCCTGGCTGGTCTAATCTACATCCCTCGGCGCTTGAGATTGTGGGATCCGCACTCGGATATTGATGACGAGAATTCGCAACTGTTGAAGCAGATGGGCGGCTTTAAGAAGCGACGCGGCCCGAAGAAGAACTGCATCAGTTAAGTGGTCTGAATTGCTTGGACATGACACACAGTCAGTGATAGTGAGCGGATCAAGGAGTTTCTCGAGCGGTCGTGGTCACGTCTGACCTCACTTTATCATTCAGGTTTCTACTGCTGATGACGCTCGAGTAGTTCACAGACTTTATTCTCAGCTTTTCGTGCAATTCAAGGAAATACTCTCGATCCAATTGCTATTCTCAAATATTTGGCAATAATCTCTCTGTCCATTGAATAGTATACCGATTGTTTGAGACAACGGGCCCTTAATCTCCCAAAAGGGGTAGAATCAATAATCAGTAGAGTTACTATTTTATCACTATATCTCATTGTAGGATAATTTTTTCCTTTAGAAGGACATCCTCATACATTTTTATCTATCATGACAATTTGTGATTAAACATTTATAAACTAGAAAATAGACTTGAGTGAGATTTGAAAGCTGATTAGCAAATAGTTGTACGGGAAGAAAGATTAAATAATAGAGAAGTAGACTTTTTAATATACAAATATTTACAACACATTTAATTAAACATTTTTTGTAAAATCTCCCACATGCAAAATGCATTTGCTGCACTCAATTTTTGACCAAAGAATAACATTTTCTTCCTTGAAAAAACTTCACATAAATATTACTGACAAATAGTAGTAAAAATGAAGATAAAAAAAAACTCCAAAGAACGGATTAATACCATTGTTATGTAATAATCTGAAGAACATTTCAATCAATAAAAAGGCTTTATTATCAGATAATAAGAGGATTTCGTATTTTATAGAATCGAGTACGGAACAGGATTATGATAACCGGTATTAATTTTTGTTTTTCTTTTTCATTACATGCCATCGATGAATTCTGTGAATTCTTCACGACATTTTTAAAGTTTCATGGCAACCAACATTTCGATTTCAAAGTCTCCAAAGAAGAAAACTTTTGGATTAATCTTTGCAATCTCAGTACACATACAAATTTCATATTCCTACATTTTAAATTCAGTCAGAATTGAAAAAGAATTAATTTTCTTCTCAAACATCTAAAAATAATTTCAGAGAATAAAGCGAATATATCAATAAACCGTTTTTGGAGACTTTTCTAACAATCGTGTGAAGTTAGCGTCAATAGGGATGTGTCAAAGAAAAAGCGCGAACTAGGCGAGTTCTCCATTGCAAGCCGACGCTCTGTATGTGAAGTTGATATTCTTTGAGTGAATTGCGGAGTTTTATTGCTAATTCCAATGCTGGTCTGTAGCCTGTGCAAGTCCTCAGAGCAGGACGATGTCAACTACGGAGAGTTTCTGCGGAAGGGCCGCGTCTCGGTTCACTACTACTGTCTGGTGAGTTTCCGGGAGACGCTAAGAGATAAGCCCAATTTCTAACTAAAAGTGCCCTTTTTTCAGCTCCTGACAACAATCATGGAGCAGAATGGTGAGGATGATGAGGGCATTCGTGGATTCCTGGTGCCTGATATCTTGGAATGTGCGGAGAAATTTGTAAATAAGGTGAGTGTCAAAAGAGGGTTATATTGGCGTCAAGTGTTCAGGGGCGCTCTTATCTCTTTGCAGAAATGTACCTACTGCCGCGGTACCGGGGCCAACGTGGCCTGCTGCAATAAAAAGTGCTTTCGATTCTTTCACACCGTGTGTGGAGCAAAAAACAATGCTCGGTATATATTTTACAACACCTTCCAATCCTTCTGTCACCGCCACATTGATTTGCCGGACGATGCAGAGCCTCATAACTCCGAGGAGATCTGCACTATCTGCAGTTGCAGCATGGAACAGTATCATCCCTTGAGATCCATTCGGACGCCTTGTTGCTCGTCCGGGTGGTTTCACAGAACGTGTCTAGCGCAGTGCGCTCTCTCGGCCGGCTACTTCTTCAGGTGCCCTCTGTGCAACGATGAAAAAGTCTTCAGGGAGTTTCTCATCAACCGCAATGTCTTTATTCCTGACAGGTATTTCGTATGCTCTGAATATCTCAACATTTCATGCTAATGTACATTTTGTGTGTGTTTTAGAGATGCATCTTGGGAAATGGCACCTCGGGCATTTTCCGAACTTGAGCGCAACGTTTCTTGCAGTGCTGAGAACTGTCGATGCCCCACCGGTCGCTCCACAAATGCCAGTCACTGGAAGATGAGGATTTGCAAATTTTGCGGCTCCTGTGGGATTCACATGAATTGTGATAAAAACTACGTCCGTCGAAAGTACACGTGCTCAGATTGCGATCAAGTGCTCCAGACAATTGACAAGCAAAAGGATGAGCAGATCTCCTCAGGCAACAAAGAAAGTCTTGCTCAAAGTGTACAAACTTCTGAGGGTGAATCTTCAACACAAACAGAGACTACAGAAATTCCGAGAATTCTTTTGGAGAACTACGATGAGAGACGAATTTTGCGTTCGAGAGCAAAGTCTATTTGCGCTCAGTCCACAGGACAGGAATTGGCACAGGGAAATTCGATCAGAACAGAAATTGAACCAAGAGAATCTCTGAAGAGAGGATTTGTTGAGCTCTCAAGCACCCAAAATTTCGCTGCACCGTCAACACTGAGCACAGCTAATGAGAAATATGCAGGGAATTCAGGTGAAGAGATGTCGGTTAAGAAGAAAATGCGCTTAGAGAATTCATGTGAGAATTCAGGGCAACTGGATGAAAGGAAATTGACACTCAGAAAACGTTCATACTCAATGTATACGAAGAGAAGTACAGATTTAAGCGATCCTATGCAAAAAGACTTTGAAAGAAGTCTCAGCAAGATTGACAATAAGCAAAATTCGACGTGTAATGATGAGCCACTTATGCCATCGAGGTCAGAATTAAAATCCGATAATGCAATAGCAAAGGGGCTCCAGAGTGCAACTACATTTTCGTCCTCGAGCACAGTTACACTCAACTCCGTTTGCAGTGACAAGTCTCCGGACAGTACAATTAATGTATCTAATGTAGGGATAACTAGACGTGTCAAGTATGCAAGTGAGAGCCATGCATGTTCACAGCTACCGCAACTAAGTAAATTAACGCTGAGGACACGCTCATGCTCACACTATGTGAATAAGCGTTCGGAACTGCAAGATTTTCGGCCATTACAGCGTGTCAAGAGTCCCAAGAAGGGTCAAAGTGATACAAAAGAGTTTGCAAAGTCTCCTCTTACAGACGTTAGTGAGAGACGAGTTCTGCGTTCGAGGACGAAATCAGTTTATGTTGAATCTTCAGAGTTTCTCGAATTGATCCAGGAGAATCCAACAAAGACCGAATTAAAGTCTGACAATGCCGGCGCCCAAAAGTCCAGAGACTATGAAAAATTTACAAACTCAAACGCCACAGCATCGTCGAGCACAGTCAGTCTCAACTCACTTTGTAGTGAGAATTTTCCTGATAATTTTGGTGATTGGATGAATTTCATAAACACACGTGTGATTGTGAAATATGTAAATGAGAGTCAATCAAGGAGCCAAGTTTGTTCACCTCCACCAAGTTTGACGGACCAATCCTGTCTTGTGTCGGTCACTCCTAAGAAAGGCGAAAAGAATCCTGAAGACAACAACAAGCGGAACAGGCGAAAGACACTAAGTGGAGCAATGTGTCAACCAAAACGATCGCTGACGTCCCTGCACGAGGTGAGTCCCAAGAAGGGTGAAAAGAAACCTGAAGACAACAAGCGGAACAGGCGGAAGACACTGAGTGTACCATCAGAATTGACAAGGCGCCAATCTGCGAGGCTTAATAAGCAAGACGTTGAGCAAGAACATTCACATGTGGCGGAAGGACAGGAACTTGCACCAAGATTACCGATTCTCAATAATCGGAATCGTCCCTGTCGCAAGGCAGCAATCGACAGCCGAATGCTCACACTGAAAATGCATAAGTTCTTCAATATTTTTGACGCCTAAAAGATCACAAAAGTTCATACCTCAGTTGCCATTACAGATGACTTATAGTTTATTGATTACATGAAATATGACGATGTTAAAAAATCATAATTTTGTTTCCAGTTAAGTTCTTTGTTGCCGGATTTTTTCTGTATTTAGTTAAAAAAAAATTTCTTTAAAAGGCTTAAAATCCGTTTCAATTATCTGATATCTTAGTACAAATATTTTTAGCGGGTTAAAAACTTTCCATAGAATTGTCTGAGTTCAATATGATTATAGCGTTCCTGAAAGAAACAAAACACTGAAATTGTAGAATCAAAATTATGGTATTTAAAATTTTTTTGAAGTGAATGTTGATTTCTTGTAATTTCTGTGTTTAGCATGTAAATACGTAAAATATTTCTAAAATTGAAATAATGGGTTAATGCAAGAAGTCTCAATGTCCTTACGCGCTTTCAAGGCAAGCGAAAGTGATCGTCTCGCATCAACTTCGTAGCACGTTTCGAAATTCCCTGTCACTCTTTTACGTGTGCCGATTTCGCGAGCGGCACTCTGGATGAGGGATTAGAGCGGCTTGTGAGTTATCTCGCGAGCGCTCAGGTGATGCTATTGAGGTCAGCTCGGTGCTTGAGTGCCAATGACCTTGGCGGGACTCCTCGCGATCAATCAGGGATTCTCGCTGGCCCCCGCCGCGGCTCTGGCGCTGCACACATCTTCACGCGCGTGCTGTGTACGGGCGGAGAGGGGAGGCGATGGCGGCCGGAGTGCGAGCGGGAGCGAGACGACAAGAGGCCGCGGCCAGGGCAGGAGCATCGCCGTAGCTCAAGTGTGCGCCAGGCAATTATCGTTTTGTCGTTGTCGCTCTGGCGCTGGTGCCTGTTTGTTGGCTGGCGCAAATCAACTAGGACAGGCACTCCGGCCTCACTCGCGATCGACGTGCCATCGGAGCCACATACAACACGGGGCAGCCACACTGCTGAGCAAATATATATACCTTAAGAGAGGAAAAAAGTGCGCGAAGGGGAGCGAAAGAGGCGCCGCGGCGTGAGTGCGAGAGAGACAGTGTGTGGTGTGCAGAAAAAAGGCAGCCACTGATAAAACACAAAAGTGCATTTGAGTTCAACAAGTTGTACATTAATTGTGGCGAATGCTTCGATATATCGCATTGCAATTTTGATGGAAAATCACTGAAGTTTTCTTGTCTGTGCCCAGGCCACGAGATTTATAGCACTGGCTCGTGTGAGACTGTGTTAATGAAGAAAGAGTTTCATTTCGTGAAAAGTTTGTATCTCTCATGTGCTTCTATTCTGATTCCTCACTCATTCACTCGCCCCAGAGTCTGCGTTCACTCACATTATCTCTCTCTTCGCCCAGTCAAAATTCAATTCGTCAATTTAATTCGTTTTTCTGCTGCGATGCTGCTGCTTCTTTCATGTTCTGTCGATTATTTATTGTGATGAATTAAATTTTTTTGGGAAGGAGGCGCGAATATACTCGACAGAGAAAAAAGCGACACTCCACAAGTGCGCCGCTAGCGAAGTGAAGAAGAACGCGCGAAATAATAAAATGGGAACAATATAATGATATAATTAATAATGCAAAAAGGAAGAAAACTGTGAGTGATGCTGAAAAGCGGATAGAATATAAAGTGGGTGCTTTTCACCTTTTTCGCAAACAGCGAATTGCTCCATTGATTTGCCAAAAGAGACAAATCAATTGCGCTACGCCAAGTGTCTCTCTTTCCTCTCCTTACAATTTTGGAATATCGAATGGAGAGTATTTAGTAGGTTATATCACATATACACGAAGAGATATACTACGTACATACATATTTTCTTGAATTTCTTACATACTATCTAAATTCCATACGGAGATAAACCGGATTTTTTTCTTCACGATTCTCACAATGTTTTAAATATTTTTCTCATATTTTCTTACTTCGTATCACCAAATTCCATCCACTTTTTTGTATCTTTCACTTTTAACACCATAAACTTCTAGAACCAGCGAATGAGGTGGTGGTGAGTGTGGCTAAAGAATAGGAGAGACAGAGAGAAAAAACGGACAGGAGTTGTACAGTATAAATTGAAGATGTTTTACTTCCAATAATATCCACTTACACATACGCAACACTGACAATTCCAGTGAAAACCAGCCAATGGTCAGAAAGTGAATCGCCTTTTGATAACGTAGTCATGAGTAAAATAATTGACTGTGCAGGAAAGTTTCTTTAAAAACTTTTCCAGTTTCATAACTCTACGAGATACAATTTTGTGCTTTGAAGGAAGCGAAATTTGCTGATCAATCTTGAGGACATTTCGATCGGAAGTGCAATTAATTGTAACGCGCGCGCCCCAGAGTGTGCTTTCAGCTCCAGCAAATTGACGTAAGAATCAATGCCGTGGGAGAAGGAATAAATATTTGTGCCTGGAACGACTGTAATAAGTGACATTAGTGGACTGTATGGACTATATTGCATATTGGTGTTGTAATACAATGCAAAAGTAAAGGTCGTCCCCGGAGTCGCTTCTGCGTTCGCAACTAACTGTGTGTCGTCTGGTCCAAGGTGGTGAAAAGCGAAAGGAAAATTAATCACGACTTTTCAGCTGCGCATGATTGTGTAGCTTTTCTCACGATTTGTGTCTCTGCAGAGCCCCATTTCACGGTGAGTTGCTTTGAATGTGCCTTTGTCCGTTGTCGAGAAGAGTGCTAGAAGAGGGAATTTTGCGAACAAGGGTTGCAAAAATAGGGGTTGGCGAGAAAAAAGTCTTTACCTTTGGGAATTCGTGAAAATTTTCGCGTTAAAACTATATAAATTCAGTGTATCGATCTGCTTGGCGGAATGGAAACTTGAGGCATAGATTCTGCATGCTGAGACACCCCTTGATTAGAATAGAGAGCGGATGCATTCATTGCGAAAGGACCGAAAGGACACTTTGTCAGCTGAATCTCCCTCCATTAATATCGTCCTCCTGTCGTGGCTGCATCTGCTGCAGTTTCTCTCGTACGCTCCTACACATTGGAAGCAATATTTTTCTGCAATCTCATTTATTTGGTGTTTTTATTTCTCGGCATTTGTTGCAATTTACATTGCATTCTCTTGGCACTTTTTATAAACCACTCCAGGCAATATGCAACACCAGCTCAAGGTATAATGAACATGAGGCGCCAGTGGAGTTGTCTATTTTGACGGCATGAAAGTTACTGTGGCGGCGGTAGTGTGAGTGAGAGAGAGGCTGTGGCAAGAAGAAGAAATTACATGGTGAGGAATTGCAAGTTTCCAGCCATTTTACGCGACTTCGTTGTTTTCTTTTGATACACCGTAGCGTGTCCGTGTAAATACACCTCTAGGCGGCCAACGAGTGATTATTCAAATCACCATCGACCTTGAACTGAAAAACCCGACCGAATCGTCAACACACGGAATGAGAAATCGCGGCGTCGGGAAGCAATAATTTTCCCCGCAGTGCCAATTAATTTATTATTTATTTTCTTTCCACACTCTCATCTTGATCTCAGTGCCATGCCTCATGTGTAAACTCCCTGGAAAATTCAGCACAATACATAGTCCGTGGGCAGCGCGGATCAGCCCCTAATTCCCCGTGGGTGGGATTTCCCAGAATAGGAGGGAAACACTCTCACGCACTATATTTTCTTGCGTATTGATCTCTTGGTGCGTCCCGTCAAGTGTTGGGAGTCTCTTAACACTTTGAGCATCTTTACTTTTTCTCATCTGCGCAAATCTACTTTGATGATAAATTAATACATGTGCGCAAATATTACAGATGGAAAATGTAATTAACACAATTTTTTCATCCTCTACGCTAAATAATTTGATTTACTCGTTAGAGGTTCTAATAAAACATTTATAGTGTCAATGTATTACCATCTTAATACACGTGTATAGTTTTTCCATTTGATGGAAAATATGGTACTTTCATGACCTCATGTGGCTAGTCAAAAATGACAGGGTTCAGATACTTTTAGTTTATCGGTTGGAAGGGATTTTTTTGCCCATCTATGCACTCAGTGTTCTTAAAGTGTGTTAAAAAAGAAAACAATTTTGTATGAGATGAGATGCGAGAAGAGACATACACATTGTATGTATAGATAATTTAAAATCAATGCGATGAACAGAAAGTATTGAGAAAATTTCTCATTATGTCTACAATTTTTCTGTAATTCACTATTAGTATGTGCATTAGCGATATTCGTATTTTCCATGGAATACACTATCTATTCAATTCTATACAGCAAATACATAAAGTGTGTACACTCTAGACGAGAGGAAAAAACACCTTATCTCCTTCGTCATGGGAGTGTGTGACTTTCTTATCAGTTTGGAGCAGGTCATGCATTATAAAGTTATTATTCTTGGTCATTATAGTGATTTAGTGTGAAAGAGAACTTTGAGTTCTTTTTTCTCCCCTTACGGGATTATTCACTTTGAATTAAACTCCTCTCTTTATGTGCGTATTCAAACGGGATTATTCCGTTTTTATGTCAACTGCGTGTTTTTCGTCCGGATGTGGAATTTTAAATCACATCAAAAGAATAAATCTCAAAAAAAATATAGCACATTGAGGGAACCACCACAGCGTGTGACCTAAGTGAAATAATTCTTGTGAGGAGTGAGCAGGAGAAAAATAATAAATACGGGAAAAAAAATTGGAAAAGAAGAAAGGAACGAAATAATCTTGTGAATCACATTGTAAATAATTTCCGTGACGTCGTGGTTGTAGGATTTTGTGACTACTGGCGCAAGTTTGCTTAAAAGTTTACTTCCTGTACTTTGGAGACCCGCAAACCGACCACTGTCGCGTATGTCCACTTAGCTGCTACGTAGTTTGTACTGTGTGAAAAAGTGAGGAAATTTGTACAGTGTGACAATGTCAGAGTATAAGATCTGAATATAGGGAACGTCACCTCTGTTCACAAATATTATGTGCATGACAACATAAACAACACACACGAGAATGTGTAAGCGCACAAGCATGATTAGGTTATCACTTATCAACAGTAGCCGTTCAGTTTGTTCTCCGCGTTATACTGTCGCTATTATGTGCAATGTCACACATGACATGGTGTCTCAGTGTTTTTAAATAACAATAAATGCTATGCGATTCATTTGTATGTGTTTGACTATATTTTATGTAAAAAGCAGTCATACATAATAGAAATCTGCACAATCTGTCTGACTAAAAATCATACAGGACTGTATTAGGGACTCTGAGAATTCATTGAGCACGAGCACTTTTGTATGACATTATTAGAGATTAGACACATACGTATATTTGTAGAGGAATGTAAGCAATAGAAACAACGTAAAAAGTACACTAATGTACTAAAATGTCCGGCATAATTCGTGACCGTGTGTAATAAATAATGAAGGGTTTTCACCTACATTTTTCCACCTTCTATGTACATATTTGCCACAATACATAGAATAAATATTCATAGTAATTAGTGGTAAATTACAATAGCTTTAAACTTTCATTTATTCTATGACGTGTCGTATGAATTAATCCCACCAGCATATGAGCTTTGAATTTCTTATGCAAATTAACGATTGTATCACAATTTGAGTTTATTTTATAATAGTTCTCTACTCAATAATTCATCAGTCACTGCTCTAATGGAATTAATGATATTGATCCAGATGGGAGTTCGCTTTTCCGAGAAATTCCTTTCAGAGCGCTGTGGAAAATTTTATAGCTTCATTTTTTTTTAACAAAAAGTATGACAGTAAAAATAGAGTTTGATTAATGGCATTATGCGATCAAAATTCAGGCAGAAGTTCAATAAAAAAAATGGAATGTTTGAAATTATTAGATGATTTCATAAAATTCGTGGTTTGGGTAGAAAATGTTGAAGCCTTTTGCATGTATGCTTCAATCTTGAGATGACACGCGAAGTAAGACCAGAGAAAAGTCAGACGTTATGCATGAGAAACCAACAATTCAGAGGAAAACATATAAAAATAACATTTCTCTGGGACAATATATGGAAAATCTTCTCAGAATGTGCTTATTATGGCTTGTTAAAATACCTCGAAAGGGTGGACATTTTTCCTGAACATCCAAATTGAAAAGCTTTAACATAACTTCTATGTACAACTTCAAGGTGAATTCTCTGGATTTTTGTAGATAATAGGAAAAATTTCTGTGATTCTCCCTTCCCTCTGGCTGTTTCCACCTTTGGGAATAATTTGCATTTGAAGAATATTCAATATTTATTGGAAAAGTTTACCAAGGGTCTCTCATATTATACGGAAATATAAAACCTTCCGCATATACACTTAAATTTTTCATTTTCTCCCTTGTCCTCTCGCATACAAACTTTCTCTTCATGTCGCAATCTCTTTGTTGTTTCATGTTCTCCTGGGGGTGAAGGAAAAATTTGTACCATTGTATTTTATTTGGCTGTGGCATATAACAACTATAAATAGGATTTGGGTGAAAATGAATTTTCTGCGTCATTCGGACGCAATTTAATATCAAATTTTCTTCTACTTTTTAATGATGTCATGTGTTTGTGTGTTTTCACTTGCTGAACAATCGCGATATACAGCGAGGAACATAAATTTGATTGGTTTCTAAAAATCTCACTACACATGCACTACTTTTACAACGTCATAACAAAGTGTGAAATATGAAAATGCATGTAAAGTTCAAGCCTTTGGAGAAAACTACTCTTGACTGTATTTTTGATCTTGCTTAGAATGTGATGCAGAATGTTGTGATGTCTGCAGCAATGTTGAAAGCAATTGAAAGTGGAATGTTGTGCAAATGTTGTACATCATCTCTCTCCTCCTTCACATCACTCGCGTGCGTTTTCGACAATGCGTGAGTTGGATGATATTACACGTATTTATAGAATTTTCCAATGTTGGTCAATGATGATGCATCTTCCCAGAAGCCTCTCGAAATATGCGTATCGATTTGAAAGGATGAATAGTCTGTGTACTTTGGCAAATCACACAAAAAGCCCCTCACCGCATTCGCCCCTAATCGGCCTCTTGCAATCCCACGTCTCGGTACTCATCATTCGCGCATTGAGCACCCGTCATATGGGTGGGAAAATTGTATTTATTTCTAATTCGGCAAAGCACCCATAAATTTTCGTTCACTGACTTCAAGGTGGTGCTTCTGTGCTTTGGCTTTTAACCCATAAGTAAATATTTATCAATGGAAATAAGCTTATATGTATATTCTCGTATGTGCCGCTTCTAGAAGAGGGTGTGTATGGGGGCTAGGAGGTAATTTCTTCAACTGACGTCACAGAATAAAATAATTGAGTAAATATTGAAGAGTTTTTTTCTCTCTTGAATGAACATTTCGAATCTGATAACTGTGCGTTTTAGCACATTTTTCACTCTCCCTCTCTCTCTCCATTCCGCATTCTTAATCATTTAAGTTGTGAGAAAAACATATACATACATACATATGTACATATGAAACTCTTTCCACACTCTTTTTGGTTGATTGCAAACAAAATCAATTGAATATGATTGATGTATCGATATTTAATTGCTCTAATTGATTTGTTGATGATCCACATTGCATTGAAAGAAGCGGTTCTCGACTGTGCGGATACACGGCAGAAAATCGTTAAGCAATTGCTCGCCTTGGATAATGCGAGAAGCCTGACAAGAGAATATGTAGT